TCCCCTTGGTCGTGCTCTCCCTCTCAACTCATCTACCACGACCCCCATTCGATACCAAAAAATGATGGCGAGCTGGCTCATATTCTTTTCTTCTTTGCTACCAAGGGTGTGTGGTGGTTTAAAATGAACGTATGATGGGTCTGATGATTGACATGGTTTTGACTGCTGTCGTGGAGTGGGTGATGGGAGATGTTGACATTGGACCTCCCCCTGATGAAGCGTGTGAGGCGGGCAAAATAGATGATAGGCAAGGGAACTGAAATACAAAAGTATACAATACGTGATTGTTTCTCTAGTCGTGGCTGTAGGTATCAGTGGTAGGTGATGTTCTCGCGATGCTTGCTGCTGTCTTGATGGGTGAGGTGAGGCCTCATCACAAGGCACTCACTCTGAGGGGGGCGACGGAGAGTGAGGAAATTCACAAGAATAGGTATGGTTGAAAGAGATGAGTGACGAGTATTTAATATCCTTTTGTTTCCCCAACTATCCACACGCTACCTCTACCAAAACCAACATCCATGCTAAACCACCAACCACATTTCCCGAACCCACGACAACACACTACCTCTTGAGAGTCTTCTGCTTCTCCGCATCCCTAGCAACGTTCCTACCCTCAACCAACAACCCCTTCTTCCTCCTCACACCGTCCATATACCTCTTGGCCACATTCTCCTTATCCGCCAACTCGCCCAAATCCTCCAAATCGTCTTCCGTAAACGGCACCCAAAAGGGATCTTGGTCAAGCACCTCGTACCCCGCGAAAATAAGCTGCGGCTGCGCCGCGCCCGACGTACGTTTCCGCATCTCGTCCGCGAAGCCAAACGACTCGGCCACCGGTAGCACAGAGTTGATGCTGAAGAAGGGTGTGCCTTCCTTCATCGCCTCGGAGAGGACGCGCCCGCGGCGGCGGGTGAGCACGTCGTAGACGCGGCCCAGGACCTCCGTCGAGGCTTGGATTTCGACGGTGTACATTGCGAGCATCAGGCGCGGGGACCAGTCGAGCATGCCGGAGCGGAGGGAGGACGTGAAGGTCTTTATGATTTCGCCCGTCAGGCGGGGGAGGCGGTCGCGGGCGGAGGATTCGTCTTCGGTGGGGTTGATGACGACGTCTTCGAGGAAGACGGCGATGCCGCGGACGGGTTCGTGGCAGAGGGGGCCCTGGGCCGTGGCGAGCTGGAAGGCGTAGGGGATTTTGTCGGCCACGTGGGCCGGGTGGAGGGCTTCGTCTGCTTGGGGTGCTGCTGAGCCCTCGCGTTCCGAGGAGGCTGTCTGGGAGAAGAGCTTTGCGAGGAGGCCTTCTTTTGTGGCGTCGATGAGGATGTTGGGGCCGGTGCGGCGGGGGCCAAAGGCGGCGATGCGGTCGATGGCGGATTTGAAGTGTTCGCGGCCGCCGCGGGAGGATTCGAGGGCGGATTGGAGGCCGGTTTTGAAGTCGTCGAGGGACATTGTCTTTGCGGCTGTCAGGTCTGTGTCGACGTCGATCTTTTCTTCGCCGGGGGCGGTGGCGCCTGTGCCTTCAGTACCCTGGGTTTCTTCGGCCGTGGTGTTGTTGGTGGCGGGTGTGCGATCAGAGTACATGCGTTTGATGACGTCCCCGTTCTTGAGGAGGAAGTCCGTGGCGTCGGACGGCAGAGGACGGACCTGGAGGCGGATGGAGACTTGCTTGGACGAGGTGGTGCCGACGACGACGCCGCGGCCGAGGTCCTTATTCGCGGGGGGCCGCATCTCCTCGGCGCGGACAATGGTTTCGCGGTAGGGTACGATGGGGGCGCCGGCCTGGATGTCGCAGCGGGCGAAGCGCTCCTTGAGATCCGTGAGGCAGCGCTCGAGGTGCAGCTCGCCGGCGGTGAGAAGGACGTGCTCGCCGCTGCTGAACTGCTCGTACTCTGCGCAGGGGTCGGACTGGACGAGGAGGCGGAGGCCGTGGATCATCTTGTCGAGGTCGGCCGGGTTGACGGGCTCGAGGGCGACGCGGACGATGGGTTTGCCCAACGTACCTGCCACGCCGGCGAGGTTGACGGCGCCGTCGAGGCGGCTACAGAGGGTGCCGTTCTTGAGGAGGTGGCCCTCGAGGCCACCGATGCCGAAGACGACGCCTGCCGGGACGGAATCTAGAGACTCGAGGTTGCGGCCCATGAGCATGTAGAGCGCCGTGACGGTGACTTGCTTCGGCGAGGGCTGGGCGTTAGGGTTGGCGGGAGACCATTTGGGAGGGATGACCCAGAGGCTGTCGCCGACGGAGAGAGTGCCCGAGTACATGCGGGCGAAGCCGATGAGGTGCTCGGGGTCGACTTCCTTCTCTTCGTGCTCAGGAGCGTAGCCGTCCAGGTTGACCTCCTCGAGCGCCGTCGTAAGGTCGTTGATTCCGTTTCCGCTGGTAGGTGCCGCGGCTTGGGCGCGAGCCGCTTCCGCTCTCTTCTTACGGGCGAGTTCTCTCGCCTCGTCGGCGGTCAACTGGCCTGGCTTGCGCTTGTTGTGGGGGAGTTCGCTTTCGGGGACAGAAACCATTTTACTAACGTAGGCCACGACGGGGTCCGACGGGCCGGTTTTGAAGGAGATCATGGCGTTCTTGATCTCTTCGTTGATAGCATCTGAGCCGGGGACGTCTTCCAGCATCTCGGGCAGTCTCTCGGCTTGCGCGACTGGGGGTGACGGCAGGGACTCGATGACGGAAACCAGCATGGCCGTCGAGAGCGGCAGCCAGGACGCAAAGACCGTGGTCAGGAGTAGGCGGGGGTCTCGGGAGCGCATGATGTGTGGCGGGATAGTCAGCCCGAGGGACTTTGTAATCTTCTCCAGCAACGCGGGATCGCCCCTGTTGTTGTCGCCGCCGACGGTGGCTTGGTAGACTGTCCAGATAGGCTCTAGCACCAGCTGCACAAACATGGGCTTTAGGTTTCTCCCCTTGAGATGCTTCTGGCCCAGAATCTTCTTGGTCTTGGGGTCGAGGTAGAAGCTGCCCCATAGCACCTTTTCCATGACATCTCTCTTGATGCCGAGCTTCTTTTGATATAAGCCGGCAAATTGGCGCACGGTAAACGCCCAACCGTCAATGGCGCTACTAAAGATGACGTTGTTCTTCTCCGGCGCAAAGTAGAGATCCTCGTCGTCGCGCTCTTCAAATTGAAGCTCTCCAGACTCGGTCATGGAGGAGTCCAGGCCAGCCTCCTTGGCAGCCGCCGCCTGGACGCGCTCCTCCATCCGCTCGCGCCAGTTGAGATCCTCCTCCATACGCTCGCCCTGGAAAAAACTTCCCAGCACGGCGTTGACCTGCTCGAGAATCTTGCTGAGATGAGTGTAGGCCTCGGCAGGCGTCATCTTGAGCTCGGTAATGAGTCGGTCAATCTTGTTGATGACGAGCAAGGGCTTGAGCTTCTCGGTCCATGTCTGGCGCAGGACGGTCACGGTCTGACTGCACACGCCCTCGACGGCGTCGACGAGCACAACGGCGCCGTCGCACAGGCGTGAGGCGGTGGAGACCTCACTGCTAAAGTCAATGTGGCCGGGCGAGTCGATGAGGTTGATGAGGTACTCCTTGGCTTCGGGCTCGGCGTCGGGTGCGGATCTCCTCAGCATGGAGAAGTAGAGGGAGATGGCGGAGGATTCCATGGTGATGCCTCGGAGCTGCTCATCAGGTCTAGAGTCGAGGTACCGGATCTTGCCGGCGAGTTTGGGTGAGATGATGCCGTTTGTTGCCAAAAGGGCGTCTGTCAGTGATGTTTTGCCATGATCAACGTGGGCCAGGATGCAGATCTGGTTGCGGTCAGTCACTGAGAGAATTGTGTGATGACGATGAGGTGAGAACTCACGTTGCGCACATCCACGGCATGCCTTTGCAGGCTAGCCAGCTTGTCGGGAGTTACAACAGGCATGATGGGCGGATATGTGATGAAGGAAGAGTGGCAGATGAGGGGTTCAAGGGGGTATCAAAAGATCTATGGACAGAAAGCAATGCCAGATGAAAGAAGCAGAGTGAATGAGAAAGCAGGTCTGAGGGTCTGTGTGATACCTCTCTCCCTTGGCTGGTATATGAAAGTCAGTGCTGCACTGCTGAGTATCGTTGTTTGCCCGAGGCAGATGATGTCGTTATTGACTGGGGGGGTCTTTGGCAGAAGTAGCGAGTACCTGAGTGAGTTGATGATGATGATTCGGCGACTAAACTGGCCCTGGTCTGTGACTAATAGGCCGACCCAAACTGGAAGTTCAGGTCAGAAGCAGGACGTAAAGACGGCTCTGATTCGCCACTCTGCTGTAAGAAGTTTTGCACGGACGAGGGTAACTCTGACTCTTGTCCTTGGTATTGCCTGAGTCTGAGTGTGTATTGGGAGGTTGATATTATCCCACAGAATATGAGGTGGATGCACCGAGCAGACTGGTGCAGTGATGAGTAATGTTGTATAGCGTGTGTGTCTATGCAACTCTTTTTCTTCCTTGGTCTCTTGGGGAAGGAGGGGGTAATGTCCTCCAGGGCAGGCACAGGCAACCTTGGAGTTACCTCAGCGGACTAACCCCGCCAAAAGATACATTCAACCCCTCCAACGACGCATCGACCAAAAAAAAAAAAGGCCACCAGAACCCCTCTACAGCCGTATAGTTGCATTAACTCCGTTACCTACAACCCAAGGCTAGCCATCGGCTTCATCCCCACACATCGCTCTACCGAGGGTGCAACAAACCCTAACTCGCCAAAAATTCACTGGCCCCTCTCTCCCAAACCCAAACGGTGCCTGTGATAACCTCAGCAAAAGCCCCCGCGGGATTAGCCAGCGAAAAGGAAATTTTCGACTCGTCCGCCCGAAAACCCCACACCTCTCGAGCGAACCCCCTCCGACCCGACCGCCCATCTGTCCTCCCAACTCCCCTTCGAAGGTTGAAGACATCGCCAACTTTTCGCGCGCCCTTCCTCTTTCGGAACCTTCGTCAATTTTTTTCTATTTTTCAATTTCTATTCCTAACACATCTTCGTGTGGGAATAGTCTTCACCGAAAAATCCACCCACCATGAGCGGCTATCAAAACGGAGAGCGGCCCGTCCGCGTCGACGACGACAGCGACGTCGAGGAGGAGGCCCTCGTCAACGACTACAAGGAGCAGGTCCAGTATGAGGACAACATTGGCGAGGACCTCGAGCAGGTTAACTCCCTGACCATGGCCCAGCAGACCGACGACATCCAGTCGCGCCTCGCCGCCGCCGCCCAGCCCCTCGACTTCTCCGCGCCCCTCGAGGTCAAGTTCCAGAGCTACGACTCCTACTGCAGCCTGTTCCACTTCATCCTCAACAGCGAGGGTCCCGTCGACCTCGAGCCCCCTTCGGTAAGCTTCCTATAGACTCCTTGCTTCTGTCTCCACCCGAAGCTATGCCGTCGCGATAGCATCACCACACGTGGACTAGGGAAGCTAACATGTCTTCAAATAGTACTACTGGGCCTGGGACGTCATCGACGAGTTCATCTACCAGTTCAACTCCTTCTCGTCCTACCGCATGCGCATCGCCCGCCAGGGCAACAACGAGGAGGAGATGCAGGTCCTCAAGGAGAACCCAAACACCTGGGGCTGCTACTCGGTCCTCAACGTCCTCTACTCCCTCATCCAGCGCTCCCAAATCACCGAGCAGCTGGCCGCCATGCGCCGCAACGAGGACCCCATGGCCGTCGCGGGCGAGTACGGCTCCAAGAACCTCTACCGCATGCTGGGCTACTTCTCCATCATCGGTCTCCTCCGCGTCCACTGCCTCCTCGGCGACTTCAGCCTCGCCCTCAAGACCCTCGACGACATTGAGCTCAACAAGAAGGCCATGTTCGCCCGCGTCATGGCCGCCCACTTCACCACCTACTACTACGTCGGCTTCTCCTACATGATGATGCACCGCTACGCCGACGCCATCAAGATGTTCTCCCACATCCTCGTCTACGTCTCCCGCACAAAGAACTTCCAAAAGAACGCCCAGTACGACTCCATCACCAAGAAGAACGACCAGATGTACGCCCTCATCGCCATCTGCGTCGCCTTCCACCCCACCCGCCTCGACGACACCATCCACTCCGCCCTCCGTGAGAAGTACGGCGACCAGCTCCTTAAGCTCCAGCGCGGCGGCCCCGAGTCCCTCCCCATCTTTGAGGAGCTCTTCCGCTCCGCCTGCCCCAAGTTCATCTCCCCCGTGCCCCCAGACTTTGAGAACCCGGAGTCCAACATCGACCCCGTCGAGCACCACCTCGCCGTCTTCATGGAGGAGGTCAAGATCAACATGATGAGCCCCACCGTCAAGTCCTACCTCCGCCTCTACACCACCATGGACCTCAACAAGCTGGCCGGTTTCCTCGAGGTCAAGCCCGATGAGCTCCGCTCCTGGCTCCTCGTCAACAAGCAGCGCACCAAGCAGTTGCGCTGGACTGACCACCCCAGCCTGTTGGACGGCGACCTCATCAACGTCAGCGACCTGGACTACGCTATGCAGGGTGTAAGTAATTCCGAGAAACTGCAGCTTCCAACACAAGCTGCTTGTTACCATGATAACATGCTAATCATCACATTCTAGGATCTGATCCACATCTCGGAAGCCAAGGTTGGCCGCAAGCTGGTCGACTGGTACCTCCGCAACCTGTCCCGCACGTACGCTTGAGCGATCGTAAAGGATATGCTTCGGGCCCTATAAAACCAGCAAGGCAAGATGGACGACCAGCTGGCCGAGAGGAAGACAAAAGGAAACGGGCTGGTAGCAAACTACCAGGGGGGGGGGGGTGTTTGTGTGCATGTTGGTAAAATGGCAATATGCAAATGCGTGTAGTTCCCAGGAATCTGCCAACGAGAGGTGGTGGAAACTCCCACCCTCATCCACTTGACGTTACCTGTGGATTCGAGGTCGGAGGGTGTGACGAGGATGAAAAAAGACAAAAGGGCAGAGAGAAGTGGCCAAAAAAAGCACTTGGGAAGAAATGGGAGGGCCCGATAGAGGGATGCTCGCATTGTTATGGCGTTCAGGCGTCTTTGCTTCCTGGAACACCTGGACCTGGTTGGCTGGGCGGGATGAAGTGAACCAAGGGGAATAATTAGAATTCAAAGTACAAACGTCCATCCGAAGCTCTTCGAGGCCAGTGTACTCGCGACAGCAGCCCGTGTGCTAACGGATCCAAAGTCGGTAGCAGATGATCTAAATAACATGGTCAAATTACTAGGACTTCTCCCCGTTGAAGGGAGCCAGGTCAGCCAGTGTCGTTGAGATCCGAGCAGCCCAGATCATCGCCCGGTGGTTAAAGGCAGGGTTCCCTAGCAAATAGCAATGACAACAACAAAAGCTCTTCAATATGCGCCGATTCTCTTGACAAGTATCGAGACGCTGCGGATATGCAAAGTTGATGATCGTCATTTTCAATGTTTCCCGCGATACGCCTGCAGCGACCTGCCCGCTTCCCCGCTAGGCTTGCGGGAGTCAAACCTGATAGGAAGCTGGACAAGGTGTATGCCAAGGGCAGGTTGTCCGGGGAAGGTTGCAACGTTGCCCGCACAAAACTGGTCGGCGGAAACCACTATCGAGAGGAATATCTTTGCCGAAGTGGAGTAAATTCTTCGAAACGCGAATGGGGCAGCATCGCATCTCTCACTATAGCACTTGCCTCGGAGGCATGAAACACTTCCCGACGAGCTGTTGAGGGCAGTAGTTGATAACACGGTGCTGACGGAGAGTGAGAAGCATGAGGCGATGAGAAAGTCTCGTAGTTCATAGCATGCATCGAAAACGAGATATGGTTGTTCAATCAAACTGGAGCGACCGATGGATACCCCTCCCCTCCCGAGGAAAGGATACCTCAACGATGATGCCCAGATGTGGGATACAAGCACTCTGCGAGCCTGCCGGGGAGTATAGTCCAATATAGGTAGTGCCTCCGTACCGAAGCCGCGTCGGTAGACCGGGGAAATTATCGGTCGGGACGGGGACGGGATGGTCCGCAAGGAAACTGGAGCTTGATTCCCGTTTCCCTAGTGGCTGGTAGTCAAGCATGTGCCACCTACTAGAGCTATACGTTTAATCTTGGACGGTGTCTCACGTTATTTCTCCCTAGCTGCCCTAAACTTGTGCTCTTGTGTCTTGGCTGTGTCCTCTGCGAGTCAGATTTCGCCTTGTGTGCGTGCTTGTGCGGGTGTGGGTGCGTGATGCTGGCTGTCCTAGGGTTGCCAAGATTGTTGGGGTCTTACGGATGTGAGTCCGGAGCAGCGAGTAGTTGGGATCACGAGTCGCGCTTGACGTCGTCTTTTTTGGACCGTCTTGCAGCACCCTCCGAACCAGTGACTGGGATACTGGGACAAACGGGCACGAGAACATGGAAGATGAACGTTTGGAGCTCGGTTATTGCAGGCCGATCGGCATGCATGTCAGTCAGTACGCAGCATTACGTTTGAACTTACGCAAGCAATCGTGGAATTCTGCGTGGGTTTCTGCGGTGAGGTTGCCAAATTGTACACTCGATGGGCTTGGCCGGCATGAGGCGCTCTGCCTGGTTGGTGTCGGTTGAACGTCAGATAGGGATGCTGCACAACGCAAGCAGGACGCCGTGCTGGACGAGATGTTTCATTGCGGCATGCGTGCCGTCGCAAGTCATTGGCATTTGCCGCAGGCAAGCGATCCTGTCAGACCTTACAATCCATCCAATGTAGGTCAATATCGACATGCGACAATGCGGGATATCGAGACGCATCGATAAATTCAGTACATTGAGCTGCCTCTGGCGAGCTGTTGGAAACCTGTTATCTCTCGGAATTTCCGGCTGATTCCTCCGTTGACTGACGGCGATGTCAGCGGGAGTATGCCATGTTTTCGACCTTACTAGATGGTCCATGGTCTCCGTGCCGTGCAACATTGACGAGTTGATATTTGATAGATAGCGAGCATACACCTTCCCCTGCCTGCCCCGTGGCTTGACATAGTGATTTGGGTGGTCCATCAGCTCGCGCCAGATAGGGGGACCTTGCCCGTCTGCTTCGGTGAGACTGCAGGTTGCATCTGGCGATTCCTGTTTTAGCGGGGACCATGTCGGTGAGAAGTGGTATGGATACATGAACAAGAGCGGAGAGGCTATCGATTTCAAGGCCAAACCGCAAAAGCAACACCGGAAGATCGGGACGGAATTCTGGGCAGGAGAATGGGCTGCGAATGGCATCATTGCAGCCTGCAATGGGTGCCGAATGGCGTGGAAAGGCAAAATAGTGGACGTTGTCTTCGTTTCGCCTTGGCATGGGCTCCCTCTTTTCCCGACCGCTTGTGCCTGCCGGCTTGGTGTCTTGGGAGTGCATCCCCTTTTGTTCTCTATTTCCTTCCCAAGGCTTGCGTCGTTGTCTCGTCTGCAGCGTGTATCCGCAGTGTGGTCTAGCTGACCCCTCAAATTGTATCCCTGCGACCTAGACGGCTTCCTGCGACATTGATGGGTCCTGGCCAAGAGATTTGAGCGCCGAAAGAGAGGTTACGGGAATGAGCCGCTGTCCCCATTTCCAATACGGGATCGAGCCAGGCGTCGGACTAATAATTTGGGCTGTCTTACAAACGTGAAAGAGAAACGAAAGGGTTGCGGAAGAAAGGCAAAGAGATACGCTTGGCTTGGCTCTCGCTTGGCGTCTGGTTGGGCACGAAGTGTGGATTGAATTGGATGGGTCGAATCATTGTAAAGTCGCGGACCGGGGCCCAGAGACGAAGCATGCCATCTCATTAACGAGAAGAAATGAGAAGAAGCAAGGTTCGCAGGCGAGTTAGCAGCTTTGAGCGGCGCGCGCACACCGACTCGAATGCTTGTTCTGATTCTCTTCTTTCGCTTTTGCCAGGAATCGGGGGAAGAATCAAGATTGGCCGACGTGCCTTAGTGGTTTGCCAAGAGCTTGTTGGAGGTGGACGAGTGGCCGAGAGGGCGAGACAGAGGGGTGAAGTTGCAAAGAGTCGAGTGAAGGCGGCGAAGGCTACAGTCTTAGCACACGGAGGGCCGGCTGGGCAGACGTGAGAGTGCATCGACAACGATGAAGGAAGCGTATGATTCTTGGTTCCGTTGCTTGGTGTGAACCCAACCCGTATGCGACGGGGTATCTGCAGACTGAGCTTGGAGGATGTTGCCGCCGGAGCTGATAGAGGATTGATGAGCACCCTTGGGAACTACCGCCAGATGCGTTAGATAGCTTGGCGCAGTACCTTCAGCTATCGCCTGGCGCCATCCACGTTGGTGGGATTTCTGGACTTTTAGAGGGTTGTGACACGGAGGCGTGGTATGATATGAGCATGATGGAGGCAACGATGAGCTTTGCGTATGGAGTAGTGAGTACAGTCTTAGACTTCGTTTCCGAAAATTGCTCCCTGATCCCTAGGCCAGGCACCGCAGGGGATCGAGACGAAGGTAGGTAATGTTGGTCGAATAAGAAGTCTGACTTTCTATCCGACTACAGCACGTCAAAATGTTTGGGTAGGACTATCATGGTGCTTGGAAAGTCTAGACGGAGATGATGCACACCCACCGGCTGCGAGCGAGGGGAAAGGCCATGTCGTGTTACTGTAGGTCATTACAGCGACGGACGGGCAGACGGGCAGACGGCGAGCGAGCCAGCGAGCAGTAATGTGGCAAGAGAGCGCGAACAGCGGCGGCGGCCAGTTCGTCTGTTCAAGATGGGATACCCGTAAAGGCGACTCATCCAGAGTCTGTCTCGTTGTGTTTGTGCTGGACGGTATTGGAGGGAGAGTCTCTGGTGGATAGGGACTACTGTACAGAGTAAGCCGTAGTGACTTGCCTTGGGAGCCAGGGAGCCTACTGTGTAAGAGTCAAGACAGCCAGCAGGGGTGGGCGTTACGGCGGGTGCTTGGAAAAGGGAGCCGAGAAGCTTGAAAGCGAAGCTGCAAGTCTTGATGTGTAATTAGAGCCAGCTCAGGCATTAGAGGCGCCGTGGAGCGGAGAGGATGATTGGGTTCGGTACTTGGGGTGGTCTTGGCGAGTTTGGGGTGGTGTTCCCAGTGTTATTTTGGGTCCGGTGGTGCTGGTGCTGGTGCTTGTGCTTGTGCTTGTGTAGGTGTTGGAAGACGGCGTGATAGGAAATTTCGGGGGCCGCGGTCTTGAGGCTGTCGTATTCCGTCCAAGGCATCTGTAGCCTGTCGTGGGGATGTGAATCTCGCAGTCTGATTACGAAGCGAAGAAATCGTCACAGGCCTGATGGTTGAAGAAGAAGAGCAAGTCCAATATGCATTACTAAGGCAAGGTATTAAGGCTTGCAATCATGCGAATAAGGAAAAAGGCATGCACTTTGTCACTTTGGCACTTTCCTACTATTCAAGACTCAGCCTGGGGAACCTGGCAACTGGGAAGGAACAAGATGCACCGGGGGCTCTTTCCAAGATGGATGGAAGCTGCAACCCATCGAGTTGACATCAGGTGCAGCAAGTGCAGCAGGTGCCTGTGGGTGACCCTAGCTCCTGCACTCTCCTTTTCCGAGGAAGGTTCAGCTGAGTGAGATAGGCATGCCGAGGAAGTCACGTCTCTGCCTTCCATCTTTCCCATTCATCCAAAGTACCTTTCTTCCTGCCTTACATGTCTAAAGGTACCTACGTCCATCAGCGGCGTCCATTCTGTCGATCGGATCAAACCAACCTTCCATTGTAACTCAAGTACCTCAATACCTTATGTATACATCTTCTCGGGTCAGACAGGCAGGAGCAACCTGGAAGGTAGGCACCTCACGGTTGGTTACTAAGGTAGTAAACGTCAAAGGAAGGAAGACGTTGACCGTAACTGTGAGAGTGGGAGGAGAGGGGTACATAACCCACCGGCAAATCTCGGTGCACACACAAGTCGCGACTCTCTCTGGGCCTGGCCAACGGCATCAAACAAACTCGAAATCTCCAGCCATCTCATCCCTGCGCACTTGCACCGCATTGCACCAGCTTCCCGAGCCCCTCTCCTCCCCTCCTCCACCTTTCCGTCCAGCTGTACTCCGTAGGCTCGTAGCTGTGGGTGTGAAAGCAGAAAGACTCAGATTCGACTCGAGTGTCTCTCCTCTCCGCCTGAGGTGTGCGCATTTACCTGGCCCACCGTCCACCATCTCAACCGCGAAAGAGAACCCCCAGCCGAGACGACCCTGGCCGACCAGGGTATCAACCATCGCCAACCCCTGTTTTTGGTGCCCATTGCTGCTCTTCTCCCTCCAAAACTCTCACTGGAGCTGTGCGTCACGCCGTCACCCTCTCGAGGATTTGCACAAGCTCGAGAGCTACCTTGCCAGGACGAAGAGAGGAACACGGAAGAACAGAGCAAACACGACAAGCGGAGCGTCTCGCATTCAGGCCCAGACCGTACTTAGACCACTCCAGTCCTCCACAACCTCGAGCCTCCTTCTTCTACCTTACTCTACTCTCCGAATTGCTGCTACGAATATCGACAGAGTACCGATACAGTCTGTTTGTTCCACCACAACCCACGCATGCCCAGACTTTTCCAACCCCATTCCTGAGCTTCTTTTCGAGCTGCATTGTCTCATTCTCTGCCCATTCCACGCCAGTCTCGGTCTCAAGGATATACTTTGTCCACCCCCGCATCCAGCCGCCTGGACTGCAACGGGTCTACCAACTTCTCACGGATGCCTTACCGTCAGGTAGCTCTCTACCTACCTACTCGAGTCACCTCAAGCCCGTCGTCGTGTCCAAAGAGTCAGAGACCGAGATAAAGTCCTTCCTCGGCTTTCCCTCTACTCTACTGCTACCACCCGCTAGCCAAGCTCTCAGCTCTGTTGCCCCGGCCGCTTTCCCGCCCCGTTTCCCACACACCTGAGCGGCACCAGCAACAGCTGTCATCCTGGTCAACTAACAACATCACCTGCTCACCGACCCGGTCTGTCATCACTTAGACTCTAGACCCTCGACCCTCGACTCGTACCGGTCGCGCTACCGTCTACGCCACACCCCGTTCTTCGGCTTTCCATCCAACAGCAACACCATCCTCGCGCTTCCCTGTGCCTTGTGAGGCCCCGCAGGTCTTGGCGGAACTGCCTCCTACGCTGTGCTTCCTCGCCATAAGAGAGAGCTCCGTCTCTTCAAAGACCACGGCGTGCGGCTGCAAACATAACTTCCTTGGCATTGTTGGACACACATATCATCTTGTCGGAACAGCTTTTTCGTCAATCCCCTTTTTACTTTCAGGAACAACCCATGAAGAAACATACAAACCTCAAACAACTCAACTAAGCATCATACGTACCCAGAGCCGAATCCTGTCGTGAACAAGAGCTCATCCAATTTCCATCGATAAGGTCACCCTCACCACTTACGCATACCTACCTACCTCTCCACGCATATTCGACGACGAGACGCTCTGACCTGACTGTCACCGTTCGACCTCCACGTTCCAACTATCAGTCGACAGACGCTCCTTTCCATTTCCAGACGCTGTGGTCAGTCCACCATCAACCACTCACCTCGGCGCAAATTACCTTCTGATCTTCTACACGTTACCCTTTTGTCCCTTCCAAGACAGGCTCGTTGCACATATCCCGTCCGAGGCTTTGAGCGACTCTGTTCAACCCAGCGCATCTGCCCGATTCCTTCCCAACGGGACGACTGCTTTGCCGCTGCGCTCATGCTGACATTGATTACACAGCAGCTGAACAGTCTTCAATGAAACCATCAGAAAATTGGCGTAGCGTATTCTTGCTTCCGCAAAGCACCAAAAAGAAAAAGAAGAATAGCAAAGGCAACTCCTCGCCATCTTCACCGAGACTTCACTTTCCAGAACTCCAGTGGGAGCTCAAGACAACAACGACGACGCCGGCACCGACGACGGCGGCAGAACGGCGGCACACCATGTCTGGGCCAACCCCCCGTTCGATGCTCAACGTCCAAAGTCCCGATTCCGATGTCTCGCCAAAGACTCCGATACAAACCTCTGACCAAACAAAGACGGACTACTTCTCCATTGAGTCTTCGTCGCAGGCGCAGTCGCAAAAGAAAGACGAGGAAACCAAGGCCAACGATGCAGAGCCATTGAGCCGTGCGACCACACTTTCGAGCTTCGCAAGCCCTTCCCCCCTCGAAAGCGCAACAGGAAGCTTCTCTGCCGAGTCGTCACGGACCGAATCGTATGGAGGAAGGCCGAGAGGATCATCAATAGCGTCGCTGAGCTTTGCGCCATTGCGGAACCCGTCGCTGCCGCAGGGCAACCAGAAGAAGACGAACAAGGAGCGTATCAGGGCCTCATCGCCTCCACCTGAGAGGTAAGCGTATCACTTCCCGTTCCTATCGTTTAGCCATTTCTTTGCCCCCATATTCGTGACCCCTTTACAACCAAGTGTTTGCAAGTGGCAGCTTTGGTCGTGACGCTTTTTGGTTCGGTGTCTGTATCCGATGTCGTGGAGCTGGACAGATAACATCTGGGTCAACTCGACGTAAGTACGTCGGTGGCAGATGCAGTTGGGTCAGATGCAGTGTGGCTTCGGGGCCACCTTATATGCTGCCGTTGGTTTCGCCTTACATGCGTGGATTCTGCAGTCCTCCACTAGGCCGGAAGCCTCGGATCAAGAGTTCAATACGACGGCCACCTTCTCCGCAGCCATGCCGCAGTTCCGGTCGCTTCGCTCGCCCGTGGATGAGCGATTCGTCGGCCGCAGCCGTCTTGGCTCCACTCCGTTTCTCAGCTTCCGTTCCAGATACTCCCTGCGCCTAGGATGCATGGGCATAGCCGTCGCTACTGAGGAAGCCTCCTCCGGGCGCCGACTCCGGCGTCAGGATCGGGATGGCGGGGTCGGACCAGTCGGCCAGCGGCGGCCTCGTACCTGTTATGGCACCCCATATTTTCCAGTTTCCGAGTAATCCCGCCGGCATCATTACAATGAGCAAGTACTGTCACCAACAGGCATCCCCTGAGCATTTCAACCTTGAAGTCAGACGAACTTTTCAAGCGTCCCGCGGCAACTCCAGCAAACGCTTATGTTTTTTACTCTGAGTCCATGTCGCGTTGCGGTCCATATCTTGCCTCACTCATCGGGCTGCAATATGCCATCAGGAGGATCACACGACACCTCATTGAAAGCGACCTTGCCGGTTCTGGATGACGCATTGGTTACTGTTATTCGCTAGAGTCACTCGTCTTTGCCCCACTACCCCGCTGTAGCGCCTGTAGCTGTTTCTTTACGGTGTTCTTGGGTTCACAAAGAGAAGGGGAAATGGCGGAGGTGGGCGCTCATCGACTCATCCTCCACAGCCACCCTTAGCCTGGCGCAACCGTGACGTCCCCCGCAGGAGGACCTGACAGGAGGGAAAGCAGCTGTCATTGTCGCATTTCCGCCCAGTCCTTGTCCTGGATCCCGGCTGCCTCTTACCAAATCGCGACCTCTCGACCCTTTTTCATTTCCACCCCTCTTGACTCTGGCCAGTGGTCTCGTCGCTTTTCCACACTTCATCATCCCCAGATCTCAACGTTTTCTTAGCACACTTCATCTCATCCGCCCTTTTGCGTCTTTTCGTTTACCAATTGCTCGGAACAACGTTACCTAATGGCGACACTAACTCAACCCTCTTTGCCTGACAGGTTCCAGTCACATGTCGCATTCGACAACCTTCCTTTGGGCGAGGCGACTAAGAACAACACGCTTTCGCTGACGTTGAATGTCCGTCACCGGGGGTACCAAGCGCAACGACGATCGCGCACCTTCATGGTCGGCGTCGACGAGCATGCTTACTCCGACTATGCGTTGCAGTGGCTACTCGACGAGCTAGTCGACGACGGAGATGAGGTTGTCTGTGTGCGCGTCATTGAGAAGGAGCTACGAGCCGCCGAAACGAACAAAATATACCAGGAAGAGGCGAAGAAGGTCATGGATGGCATCCTGAAGCGCAACGGCCTGAACCGAGCCATCAGTATTGTACTGGAGTACGCGAGTGGAAAACTCCATGCGACATTCCAGCGACTGGTGAGTAGAAAGATGTGACGCGGCAGTCTTGGCGCACGGCAGTGGAGTAGGCGCTAATTATTATCATGTCCCAGATCCAAATTCACCAGCCTGCAATGCTCATCGTTGGCACGAGGGGCCGGTCGCTCGGTGGCCTCCAAGGCCTGGTCAATACGCGCAATTCCTTTTCGAAGTACTGTTTGCAGTACTCGCCTGTTCCTGTTGTCGTCGTCCGCCCGACGGAGAAGCGGGAGAAGAAGAAGAATAAGAGAAAGAACGATACGGAACGGCAGACATATGTCAGGATGCTGTCAGCGACAGGCGGAAAACACGAGGCCGACAGCGAGAGAAGCAGCATGTATGAAGTGGAAGTTCACAACACGGCGGACGAAGAGGCACATCAAGTCGCCAAAGCGCTAGGATTGCCTGCGGCATTTGACCCAACTATCAAGCCAGTCGACCTCAATGCTCTTCTGCATCCGAGACACCAATCAGCGCCATCCAATCTCGCACAAACGAGTAGCACGGGCACGGGTAGATCATCCGCCCCGCCTAGTGCAGCGGGCGACAGCGATGAGGAAGATGACGATGATGAGGACGAGTTCGAGACGTTCTCCGGCGACCAGCTTATCAACTCGTCGCAGATGGACAAGCTCCACAAGATGGAGGCCAACGAGGCGGCAGCCCTCAAGCAACGAAAGTCGAGTTTGGACTCTAGCGCCAGTGGAGTAGATGATGACGAAGACGAGGAGTCCAAAGCCTCACGACACAGCAGCAACAGCTGATACAGTAGCCCCATGGCTTCGAATGGAGAGGCAGGTAGGGTCACGAACTAGCATGTGTGGGATTAGACGGCGTTTGGTCGATAGCGTGGGCATTTTCAGTTTGCTGGGACGACATATCCCGTAGTTGTGGTTTGTGTGCGGAGACGAAGGGAAGTGTCAAGGGAGGATTGTCTAGGTAGTCGGCGTAGTTGTTAAAACCTCCTGCTCTGCATGGAGCCCGTGGATTGATACCCATAAGAGTCTGAAATGATGAAAACTGGCCGAAACCCTATTGCGTTATCCGTACAGCTTCTGGTGGCGTGACGTACATCTTTTTGTGACAGCGTCTGTTGTTCATGGGGCTGTTGAGTCTTGAGTGAGTCTTTGCCTGGTGTCCATTGGCCGCTCCGTCGCATCTTGCGGGGCTGCTCTTAACGAAGGTGGGCGAGTTCCAATGTTCCAGACTTCCTGAGGTTCCAAAGTTAACCAGGAGGTATAAAGTATGGCGCAAAGACATGTGGCTGAAGCTCAAATAAAAAAAGTCGCCGGAGCTTCAGAGTGGAGAGCTGAGGCCAGGTTGTCGTGTGGCTGAGGCCCCCCCCCCCCCAAGTCCGACACAAAGGTTACGAATCCAATGTCGCCCTTATTTTCTCGTCACAGCCGTCGCACTGTAACGGTTGTCCGAAGCCAGCCAACGCATACCAAACAATGTCGAAGACAGCCATGCTAATTCCTCGCTAAGGACACCAGTCTGTTTTCTTCTCTGCCACACCTGCCTTCATCCTACTCAACAATCGAGAAGCAGACATAGGATGAATCTTGCTCTGCTCGGCTACGGATACATATCGCACATGTCCCTTTGCTCGCGCGCAAACGCAGACGACGCCCCACTACCGACGATACCACCACCATCACCACCAACAAGATGCCCTGGTTCTGGTCCACCGCCTCCTGCGACGAGTCCGCTTGCGCCGCCGTAGACCCCAATGCACCGTCGACCGTCGGCCTGCTCTTCTCGCTGCTGCCCTTCCTCCTCACCTTCGCCGCCGTCGCCGTCTTCGCGAGCCAGACCATCTTCCCCAAACTCGCCAGGGTCCACGACGCCCACGATGGGGAGGACCACTACCTCCCCTCCCACGCCCCGCCGAGCCTGCGTCAGGCCCACGCCGAACACGGACAAAAGAGCGCGCGGCGGCGCGTCGCGGCCGCTGTATTTAGTGTTACGATTGCGCTGGCGACGGTGCTGGGCGAGTTGATACTGAGCGAGATTTCGGATTTGGTGAGCAGGCGCGCGAGGGAGGTCGGGTTGCGGGTTACGGTGCCGACGTTGCTTGTGCTGCTTGTGGGTGTCATTCCGTTTCTCGAGATCCAGAGCGTGGTCTCGGGCGCCGGGTGGAAGTTTCAGCGGAATAATAAGGGGAGGATACCGAGGTTCGCGTGGGCTGTGCAGATGCTCGTTTTCGGGGGGTGGGTGTTTGCGTTTTGGAGCTTGGGCGGGTTGGTTGGGCTTGATAAGACGGCGACGGCGGGCGGCGGGGTGCTGCGCGCTTGTCTGGAGAGGATTGGCGTTATCGGGATCTCGCTGATGGCGATGCTGAGCGGGTTCGCGGCGGTGTCGAGCCCGTGGCATACCCTCGGCGCGGTGTCGGAACGGAGAAAGAGGCCCGTTACGGAGGCGGATGTTTCGAGAAAGGAGGCCGGGCTGGATGCCACCAACGAGATGCTCCTCACGAAACGACACCGGCTTCAGGCGCTGGAGCGGAAGGCGGCCGAGTCGCAGTCGGGCGGGTCTTCGAGTTCGGGGGCCGGCGGCGGCGGGTTCATGGGCAAGATGCTCGGCGCCGTGAGGGGCATGGGCGGCGGCGACGAGGCCGAGATGCGCGCCCTGCGGCTGGAGATCACGGGCCTCGAGACGATGGAGGCGAACTTGCATTCCTCGCTGGGGGTGATGCGCTCGCGCCGGGCAGCGGACGCGCGCGCGGCGACGACGATTGGGAAAGTGCTCGCCGTCCCGCACTACGTCTTTTCGCTGTACTGCCTCTACCGCATCCTGGCGACGACGCTGGCGACGCTGCGGAGGGCGTATTACCCTTCTTCGAGCTTCAGTTCCTCGGACCCGATTAACCGGTTCCTCGGCCTGCTGGCGCGGCACTGGGACCCTTCGCTGGACCAGATTGCATGGGCGCGGCAGATTAGTTTCCTGTTGTCGGGTGTCATGCTCGCGGCGAGCGCCAACAGCGTGCTGCAGACGTTCCACCTGTTCTCCAAGTGGATGCCGGGCCTGCTGTACCAGGCGCAGGCGAACTTGGCGCTCATGATTGGGCAGATCACGGCCGTGTATGTGATTTCGGCGGCGCTGTTGTTGAGGAGCAATTTGCCGCGGGAGATGGGCAGCGCGGTGGGGGATGCATTGGCGGGCGCGCTGGAGCCGCGGTTTGTGGATTGGTGGTTTGAGGGGTGGTTTTTGGCGAGTTGCGGTGTTACTGGGCTGGGGGTGTGGATTTCGAGGAGGATTGGGAGGGAGGAGTGGGATGAGTTTGGGGCGGAGGAGATGGGTGCCAAGAGGATGTAGGGACGACGGTCTGAAGGTCTGAGGTTGTCTGCCCCTCTAGGTATACCCAGGAATGGGAGGGATGGAGGAAGAGAAGCAGTTGGTATGACTATGAGATATGTTTTGATATCGGGGTGTCTTGACTATGATGGGGAGTTTTGGGCGTGTATTATTATACCTACGGGTTGGGATGTACTAGGACCTTGTACAATCATGATTTTTTCACCTTGATCATTTACTATACACAACAAGATGTGCTGATGCTTTGCGTGGGGGCTTGAAACTTGTGATGATGTGTGAGTAAAGGAGAGGCTGAAAGATATGATACAGGCGAGTAAATGGATATACATACACCTTTGTGTGTGTACGCTATGATACGAGGACAACTTTCCAGAAGCTTGCCCACAAATCTCACTTGTGTGATCGTGAAAAGAGGATCAGACATCATCTCAGAAAGTAAAGAAGCAAAACATGAGAAAAAGAATGAACCGATCGAGGGTTCGAACATGGACCCCGAAATAGACCGGAGACTTCACGGCCCAACCGGGGCCTCTACAGCCCGGAACATCTCGACCATGTGGCCCAGTACTTGTTGTTGAATCATGATGACATGAGGTCATGAATAAAGGCTAAGGGATGATTCGATCTGATATTGGGTTAGGTATGTAAGGTGAGTACTCAGAAGTACGTACACGAATATATTTTCAAACGACGTCGGTATATACCACAGAACCTCAGCTATATACCTTAGCTACTCCTTTTCGCTATTCTCCTTCCATCTCAAAGACTCCCCCCATCATACCCCCATATCCCTCCTCCAAGCAGCCTTCACCTCGTCCACCATACCCTCCTTGGTCAAAACATCAACCGCAACACCAGCCAACCCCTTTCCAACGCGCAAACTCCTCTCAAACGCAACCTTCGTCCCCGCCGCCTCCGCAAACTCCGGGTTATGCGGGCCCTGACCTCCCTTCCCAGGCGGAATCGCGAAGCCCACGCTGAGGGAGGGCATGGCGTAGCTGATATCCCCCTGATCCGTACTCGCCATCGTCCGCCCGCGAATCTCATCCACGTCTTCGTCCGTCGGGATCGGAGCGTCGTCGTCACCGTCTCCGTCGCCGCCAGAGCCCAGTAACGCGTTGAAGTATCGCGTATACGAACGCCCCAGCACACGATTCGGCACATGATCCTTATACGCCCCCGTAAACGTAACTTTAAACGTCGCCCCCGTGGCCTCCGCCCCCGCAGCGAAGCATTTCTGCACCTTTTTCAAAAGCTCAGAGAGCCGCGGCTGCGTATCCGACCTCACCACGAAATTCGCCGCCGCGTACGCGTGGATGATGTTTGGCCGCGCGCCGCCGTCAGAGATATTACACTGGATCACGTCCCCCGGCCTCGTCTGCTGTCTCAGCACGGAAATCGAAGTATACGCCACCACCAGCGCGTCGAGCGCGTTGATGCCGAGCCACGGGTTCGCTGCGGCGTGGGCTTCGCGGCCGAAATATTCGAGGCGGAGGGAGGTGTAGGCTGAGGTGCGCATCAGGGCTGTGGAGGTGACGATGCCAGGGTGGGAGATGAGGTTGATGTCTGGTGCGCGGGAGGGGGAGCCGGTGCCGGGACAGGTGGAGGGGTTGTAGGCGCCGGCTTTGAGGAGGGCGATTTTGCCGCCGCCGCCTTCTTCTGCGGGGGTGCCGTAGAGGATGAGTTTGCCGGGGAGGGCGTGGCGGGCGAGGAGGGTTGAGGTTGCGAGGGCTCCTGTTAGGGAGGCTGTTGCTATTAGGTTGTGGCCGCAGGCGTGGCCTATTCCTGGGAGGCAGTCTGTTGGGAGGTGTTAGTTAGAGAGCAGAAGAAGGAGGAGGAGGGGGAGAGGTCTTACCCATCTCGACATTAAACGACACAACTGGTCCCTTCTTTCCGCTTTCCCAGACGGCAACCCAGGCAGTTTTCATGCCGTAGGCTGATGGGGTGACTTTCCATCCTGGCTGGGTGCGCATGAAGGCCACTAGGGTGTCGTGGGCAATGAACTCGCGGTAGCCGAGTTCCGGGTTATCGTGGATGGTTTTGTTGACGGGCCATAGTGCGTCGGCGAGGTCTGTTACGATGGAGGAGATTTCATCGAGGAAAGGCGGTGGTGGTGGTGATGACGAGGAGGATGGGGAGGATGAGGCTGGGGCTAATGAGCAAGGTGAGGTTGAGGTGCATGTGGGGTGGGTGTCTGCGTGGGAGACGAGAACGAAGTCGTCTTCTGATGTATCCATTTTAAAAGAGTTGATGTGAGTTTCACTGTAGCTGATGAGTATGAGGTCGATCAACCCGGTGATTGAAGTGCCCCTTGATTGGGGTGAGAGGCGTCGTAGTTGGGTTGAGCCTGCACTGTTCCTGATGGGAGTGAGGTAGGTGAGTGAGTGAGTTCCGGCGAGAGGAGGTTGCGTAGTGAGGGCCGTCTGAAGAGACGGTTCCGAACGGCGGCGTGTCTCCGACCACCGGCCGGGTTTCGATTGATGCTATCTGTACCGAGGCCGCGGATGCCATGCGATGCAAGTTGCCTATTCCAGCTAGCGTATTCGCTGTGTTATGCTTGTCTGGAAGCTGGTCGTTCATAAATCAACGCATATCGCAGTACCTCAGAACAGGTAAGGGATAAGAGGAGAACGAATACGCTCATGCATCGAAGCTATTGCGAGGTACATGAAATCTCGCTCAAATGGAGGTGTCTTGGTGTTTCTAATGTACTTGGCGAACTCTGCTTGATTGCATATCTCAGACGGTCGCGCGACGCCACGGTCACTTGGTTCTTTGTTATGATTTTGCTTCAGATAAGCTCATAATAAGACGAGTTTGCTTCCATTAAGTATTGGCAGTTCCGATGCCTCCATCTTAAAGCCCCGAAATTCTGGAACCTCTTTTCAACCGGAATGAATGCGCAGTTTCCTGCTGACCGCAGAGCTCTTCAACCCACTTCCATGAACCCCAGCAACCTAACCCGGCATCTCTTCATCCCCTGAATCAAGAATCATCTCTGGCCAGTCAACGTCCGTATCATCCTAATCAATTTCGCCGACGTCTCGATCCAGTGCGTGAGCAGGAACGGGGTGATGTAGAAGATTAGGGCGACAAATATGAGGCGGCGCGCCCAAGGAGGGGGCATGAGAAGCGCTAGTATCCTCTCCGCCGGCGATGTTTCCGTGACCTGCGCCTGCTGCGAGGTCTGCGAGGTTTGCGATGCCTCATCTACTTGCGCTCCTGCGGCGGGCGAGGCGGCTGGCGTTGATTTTTGCTTGGCCATTTTGGTTGTGGTTGGGGTCTGAGAGAGGTGGTTAGATAGACTCGAAGATCGACCTGCTTGAGCGATGCGAGGGTACACTCACCTTTCTTCGTGAGATTGGGTGAATGAGTGATGCGCTCGCTGATCCGCAAATGTGAATGAATTTGGATGAAGACGACGATAAAGACACGCGGTCCTCTTGAGATGAGGCTGGCAAGACGGAGGCTGACAAGACCAACCGTCTTGCCAAGGCGCTTGGCCGTCTAACGCCTCATGGCTCACCAGTGTTGTTCTTTGGGGAGCTTCCTCATTTGGTCTGTTGGGAGGGATTATGCATCGTTGTGCAAACTGGCATGGTGCGCCGGGTAAAGGCGGCGACTGCTTGGAGTCTGGAAGTGGAGGACCGGCTGTTCCCCGCAGGAGATAGCTACCCGTTGGCCGGACCCATGTTCTTATCGACCCGGTGTTATCGGGTGTCTTGGTCCCGTAAAGTGCGCCGGTTGCGCTCTGGATACTCCGTATGGAGAGGTTCAAGTTTTCCGAGGGAAGAAAGCATTACGACCACAAATCAGACACGGACGAAAGGCCGTTGGGAAAAGACGAGCATCTCGCATCTTAAGGTGTATCTCGTAGGGTATACGTTATTAAGTGTGTCTTTTCCAGCAAGCTGGCGAACCAGTGTTCCACTCGAAAGAGTTGAGTTCACATTGGGGCTCAAGCTGCAAAGGGGCGATCAAAGTCCGACGAGACCTTATCCATGTCAGCAGATACATGAACTATTCTGCAACCATTCTGCCGCTGGCATCACACTACTGCGGTACGTGAAGATGAGGGGCTGGTGAGTGGAAGAAATCACCCGAGCGAGATAAGACCATTGGAAAAAATAACATGGAATTGCCGATTGTCGGATCTACTCCGATGAACAAGACCCACACGCTCCAATGACTCCAGCCCGCGGCCTTCGTTCAACGTTCCATTGATAAAAGAAGTCGTGGGCTCCCAAGAACCTCAAAAAGGAGGAGAAAACTCTCTTTTCCGGATCCTCGTGCCAATACACTAATACGACCCAGGAACCTGGGACTCGGTAAACCCACAAGTTCTCTCTAGTCCCTGACAAACTCCCCCTCCTCCTTACAGTGTAAGGCACTCCGCAATGGCACCCACCGAAACCCCGGGCTCCGACCCGGAGAAGCGGGTCCTCGCGGATATCGTCCCCGCCACCACCGGCCCCCTAGATGAAGACGCCATCCCCTCAAAGCACCACATCACCGACGAAACCGGCGCCCTCGCCGCCTCAGCCCTCGACTCCGCGCCCCTCGACGCCGCCGAGTCCCGCTCCATCCTCGCCAAGCTCGACAGGCGCATCCTCCCCTTCCTCTGCATCACCTACGCCCTGCAGTTCATCGACAAGACTTCTTTGGGGTACAGCTCCGTCTACGGCATCATCAAGGACAACAAGCTCGTCGGGCAGCAGTACAGCTGGGCCAGCTCCATCTTTTACTTTGGGTATCTTGTCGCGGAGTACCCCGGCGTCGCTATCCTCCAACGGTTCCCCGTCGCCAAGTTCTTGGGCGTGAATATCGTCCTCTGGGGTATGATTCTCATGACCACTGCGGCGTGTAGTTCCTTTGCGGGGCTGGCGTCGGTTCGGTTCCTGCTGGGTGTCACGGAGGCGACCATATCGCCTGGCTTCGTGGCCGTCACGGGAATGTGGTGGACGAGACAGGAGCAGGCCGGCCGCTCGGCGCTGTGGGTTTCGTTCCTGGGTGTCGGAAGCTTTGTGGGCACGTTGCTCGCGTACGGCATCGGGCACATCACGGGCTCGCTGTCGCCGTGGAAGTACATCTTCCTGATCCTGGGCGCCATGACCGTCGTCTGGGGCGTCGTGTTTACAGTTTTCGTGCCGGACGGGCCCGCAAAGGTGACGTGGCTGACGGAGAGGGAGAAGGTCGTTGCTGTGCAGCGCGTGGCGGAGAATCAGACTGGTACGGGACGGAGCAGGACGTTTGTCAAGGCGCAGGTTATTGAAGCGGCGCAAGACCCGGCGGTGATTATTTTGGGGCTAATTTCGTTTGTGAATGCGATTGCTTCGGGAGGGTTGGCGTTTGGGTCGTTGATTATTCAGGGGCTTGGATTCAGTCCCCTCAACACGACGCTTATGAACCTGCCGCTTTCTACCGTGCAGGTTGTCACGCAGCTTGGAGCCGGGTTTTTGAGCAGCAAGATTAAGAGTTCGAGACTGCACGTCGGCACCGTCGCCATGATCCCACCGGTATGCTCTGGCCGGTCCTATTGGTTGATATTTCGCTGACTTTTGAACCAGATCATCGGAACCTGCCTCATCAACCAGCTCCACGCAGACAACAAATGGGGCCGCCTCGTCGGCGTCTGGCTACTTGGCTCCTACCCCGTCGGCTTCATGGTCATCCTCGGCCTGCTCTCGACCAATATCGCCGGCAGCACGAAGAGATCTGTTGCCTCGGGCTGGGTCTTTGTGTGCTACTGCGTCGGGCAGATTGCCGGCCCGCAGTTCTTCAAGAGCACCGAGGCACCCGCGTACCACAGCGGCATCGTGGCTATGCTGTGCGGGTTTATTCTCAACCTAGTCCTGAACCAGATTCTGCGCTTCATCTATGTGTTGGAGAATAAGAAGCGTGATCGGATGCTGGAGGGTAAGTCTGAGGAGGAGGTCAAGGAGATGCAGAGAGAGGGCGAGGTGCTTGGGTTCGAAGACGTGACGGATAAAGCTAATGTGAGTATGCCTGGTGTTTGGATCGATTGCTGAGTGACTTGCTAACTAAGTGTAGCCCATGTTCCGATATGTTCTTTGAATAAGGACGAACAACTAGGCATTAGTGATTGAGGGGATCCCATGTTGAAGTGACGCACAAGGGGACTGCTCGGTGGGATTCATGAGTATTGAAGCTGAGTTTGTCGTAGTCTAATGTCAAAGTATTAATGTTTAAATCTTCTAAACGAATTCCATACGGAGAGACTTCTCTAGTACTACTGCGCCCCTCTACCACTTCAACCCAAACTACCAGGGTTAAGAATCTTCCAATCCGGATGCCGGTAATCCTCTCTCGACTCATCAAACGGCCCAATGTGAGGCTTCACCAACTCAAACAGCACTCTATACCCTTCACCCCCCAAATGCAGCCCATCCGGCACCAAAACCTCCAGCCCACCCCGCTCACCTCCGGGGCTCCCAAGTGGGAGATCACTCCGACTAAACCCGATCGTCATCTGCTCAGCCCGCCGCATGACGGCGCCGTAGAGGTCGATCGACACGACACCGGGCACCTCGGATGCCACGGCGAGCGCCGCGTCCGAGTACGTCTTGCTCACGGCCGCGTTGCGCGACGCCTGGCCGTGGCCCTTTTCGAGATCGCGCTCGAGCATGCGGATCTCGTCGAGGGGAGGGGGGTTCACGAGCAGGATCTTGGGGCTGTGAGCTTGGATGGTGGGGTGGGTGAGGATGGCTTTGAGGTTTTGTTTGTATTGGTCTAGGGCGATTTGCTGGCTGTTTGTGGGGATTGGGAGGCAGGCGTCGTTGGCGCCGAGGAGGATTAGCTGAAAGAGATTAATATCGCTGATGGAGATGTCTGGGAGGCTCAAGGATTGTTTTGACGCACGATGTAGTCTATCTTAGGCGTTGTTGTCGAAGGTGGTGGGAAGAGGTATGGGAGAATTTCTAGAGCGTTGGCCGTGTTGTAGCCTGAGAAGCCTCTATTGATGACATCGAGACGCCTCATACAGACTGCTCGTTGTTTATTTCAGCATTGGACTGCCCGCCAGCTTGAAAAATGAATGATGAAAGGCCACCTTACGGTCTTGAAGGGCAGCCTGAAAGGAGAAACCATCTTGAGGCGTACAGGACAATTGGAAGAGTGAATCTCCAAAAAGGACGACTTGATTGTAAAGCTGTGTGAGTGAGGCTATGTTAGCATTGCGGGGGCTGGTCGTGAAAGATGAGCATTGTAGTGAGGACTCGCCGGCATATTGGGGTGCTCAGAGCCGATAGACGGAATCAGCTGTTGAGAGGGAGTGAACAATCACAGATATCAGCCTTTGTGAGGCTATCGTCACTTGAAGCAGACGCTGACCTTGGATGAGGAGGTGAAGCTGATGGGATGCAAAAAGGTGCCCGATTAAGTCGCTCAAGGTTTGTGGGGTAGAAACTCATATCCGTCCATTATGATTGGCCTAGTTGCGTTTGCTTTTTTGTTTGTTTCTTCCAGTGCACAGATTTCTGTACTCATGGCAAACACCACACATGGTTTTGGATTCCTCATTGCTCTTCGCTCCAGTATTGAGGGGGATGTATCACACTGAATGTGAGATTCTGTAGGACAAGAAAATGATCACAAGCACGTTTAATCGGTTGAACAATCAGTAGTTTGAGATGGAAAAAGTATCACCCAGTCCGGGAAAACGCCACCAGGTGACGTGCAATGCATGGCCTGCATTACTTTGAGCACCTGGGTAGCCGAGCAATTTCTCCCTGACGTTCGGAGGAGGCTCCGAAGCATGGGGCCGACATTTCGGGGCCGAAGCCGAGACCAAGCCCAGTCTTGATCCGCCCTCTCGAGCCAAGCTTTTTGTGAGCCGTACTCCGTATGGATGCCATATATCCCCGTCGCCACTGATTGCGACCATCCGCGCTTGGACTTGCCTAGTTCCCTTATTATTCAACCGACCACGCGAAAGCAGACAATGTGAGTACCACTCTTCACTCATGTCTGGAATCGCGCAAGTTCCAGGGTGAGCTTTCTTGGGCCTAATGGGTTAGGCTGGGGTAATTAGTCAGTTGGACTTGATCCATCCTTCTGCCTGCCGGACCTCTGGGAATGTGGCGTCGCCGCGAAGGTCCAAATAGGACAGTTGATTCATTTCACATTTTCTTGGACAGGAGTAAGCTAGACGGTGGACCCAGCACGTCGGAATTAAAGCCGTTCCCAAGCTTGCCAGGCTCGACCAGACCCCGAAGTAGGCCGGGGAACCGGGAGCGCAATCGGTGTCTTGGAAAAGGAGAAGAATTTCTCCAAATCCTGAATTCTGCTCCTGCTCGAGATGGGGGAAGACTCTGTTGAGACCGCATCTTATGCTGCGGTACGTGGCACCACTCGACTCATCGGCCTCGACTCTCGAATACTCCAAAGAAGCGTATGTGAGATTGAAACCCCTCTAGTCACTAACGGGGAATGGAATTCGTCTGCGGCTTTTTCTATGACTGCCATAAAAATCAACAAGAAAAAGGTACTAGAGAATGATCTTCAACCCAGAACTTCGGGCAGGCACAAGGCTTTAGGGCTGCCAATAAAACCAGCGCGCTAGCTTCCAATAGTCTGGACCTAAGCGTCCGAGCTGCAAGTCATTACATGATGATCTTTGTCTGTGCCTCTCTTTTTCTCCACACGCGCGCGGGGATCTTCATCGAGCTTGGGGCACACAGGAGTCAGGAGCCGGGACATGGAGTGTTTGTCATTAGACTGGTGTTGTCGGTAGGGCTGCCACGCGGCGTAGAAGGTGATCCGATTCCTGGAGGATATGGGAGCACCTGGACATCAACAAGTTGATTGAGAAAGCCAACCCCATTACGTACACAACGAGCAAAGGACGGGCTGCTTTATCCCAATGTTTTGGAGCCAAGTCAAGAGGAGCAAGTTCAAGAAGCCTTCGAGGCTAGCCCCGCCCGGTAGAAAGAAAGATTGAAGCGTGCCATTTGTCCGGGTCGACGCCCAGCGGCCGCCTTGTAGTCATTCTTTTGCGATGTGGGAGAGTCGAATGCGGCCGCGAAATTCTAGATTTCTAGATGTGGTCTAAGCACAACCTAGGCTGGCATGACTGGGCGTCACATCGAGAGCTAGCCCCCCTTATGATTGCATGATCTTCGGGTTTTCTGAAGGATTGCGCGACGCCCCATGTGTGGCGTCGACCCAAAACACATGGTTCGGACTGCCTAGTACTGATCCCGTCGCGCCTTGTCGAAGATGCATCCGGCTGTCTGAGACACACTGTTTCTTTGACACCTTTTTCGCGGAGCCGCCCCGTAGCGTTATTACGCTGACAAGGCGAATGGTGTGCCCCTGAGAAGAGAAAAAAAAAACATTTCTCCAAGCGATGTGACAATGAAGGATAGCGCTGCGTGTTTGCTTGGCGAGGGGAGGTTTAATAGTATCAGCCATGGCCACTTCCCATGGAATAACCTTTGAACTACTAATCGTCGACTGATCTTCAACGGCGCTCTCAAGACTTACGGCCGAGGGGAAGGTTTTGAGGCCTTTTGCCTATGTCTCTCGACGACAATATCCAAAATCGCTAGGAAACGCCCGAGACAGGAACGGAGATTCTATCACGATGAGGATCCCACCCATCGATGTGCTCATCCATTGGCCGCGGCCAAACTACATCAACCCGGAGAATCGGGGGCCGGGGCTGCTCATCATCGAGATGGTCTTTTTGGGCATCGCCATGATATGCCTCTGCCTGCGGATGTACATCAGGATTGTCAAGATTCGACAGACCTGGTGGGATGACTGGCTTATGGTTGCTGGCATGGTATTCTGCATTGGCGTCACGATTTGCGTCATTCTCGGTACGGCTCGCCCTCACCTGAAGCTGTTAAAGGGAATGTCAAAGGCAATAAGAAACCTTCAGGCTAACAATCTGCGATTAGCCACTGAATTATACGGCTGGAACCTGCATGTATGGGATATTCCGCTGTCACTGATCAAGCAAAGCCGACAGGTACGTTTTCTTTTCGGCGTGATATTGACTTTAGAGGCGTAACTCTAACGGTTGATTTATGGTAGATCTCCATGGCTGCGCAGACTCTTTTCCTGTTCGCCTCTGGCTTGTCCAAGCTCTCGATTCTTGCCAGCTATCTGAGGCTCGCGGCGCCGGGGACATGGTTCCAACGGCTTACTTGGGTGACTGGCGGTCTTGTCTTCACCCTCGTCTGGGTCTTTCTCATTGTGCTCTGGACGCAGTGCATGTAAGCAAACACTCTCACCCTGGACCCATTCAGATAGCAAAAAGACTGACAGACACTCCAACTACAGGCCGATATGGCACTACTGGACCCTCTTCGCCGACTGGGGAAACTGCATCCCCGAATGGCCGCCACTAGCAGGTCAAGGTATCACAAACGTCCTCACCGACGTAGCCGTGTACCTCCTCCCGATGCCGACCCTCTTCCGCCTTCAGATGCCCCTCAACCAGCGCATCAGCCTCATCATCCTCTTTGGCCTCGGCACCGTCGTCGTGCTCGCGGGCATCATGCGAACGTACTGGGTCATCCGCGTCGAAGTTTTGTATGTGGAGGACCCTTCTTACGACCTGACATGGGACGGCTTCAACATCTGGGTGTGGACCGCGCTCGAGGCGAATCTGGCGATTGTGTGCGGGTGCGCGCCGACGCTGAGGAGGCTGTTCACGGGTGGAGGCAAGGATCAGACGCCCAAGGTGCATAGTTCGATTCAGACGATTGGGAGCTCGGGGATGAAGAGGAAGAAGCATCGGTCGTTAGGTACGGAGATGGGGCGAGAGGATGATATTGAGGAGCATGGGTTGACGATGTTTGAGTCAAGGGGGACGGCTTCGGGGAATAAGTCGGTGGAGATTCATGAGCATACGCATTCAAGTCATTCATGAGGAGCAGAGCATGATGGCTTTACCACCCTAGGCTTGACATATTCCAGGTTCAAGGTCTATTATTTCTCAATTGCGAACAGTTCTCAACGAATTCATGAAGACCATCGATCGCCTATGACTAAGTACGGGGCTGCGCGTGGTTGAACAATCTGAGTATCAGCAACCCTGGAGAGCTTCCCTCCGAACCACCGACCACACACTTCTTTGAGGATCTTCCACCTGAACAACTTCAAGAAGCTGCGCGCTGTATTGGACCGTGTATCTTCATCGATGGCGTAGTGCAAGATCTCAACGTCGTCCAAGTTCTTGAACCGCCCAGCCATCAGCTCGCGGCACAACTCTGGCAGACTCGTTCTTATTAGCTCGTCGAAACAGTCTTCTGCGCGCGAGACCGTCAAACTCTCCAAGTTCTCGGTGCTTAATTCGTCAGGATTATTGATATTAATTCCCCCGCAGTAATTTCCCCACCCTGAGATCGAAGGTGTGACTGACAGCGGTCCGTAGAGCAGGATGAAGAGGTGACGGAGGTGTTCGAGACGAACATCCCTTGGAATTCGGAAGGAAAACGTTTCGTGAACGGGCAAGAAGGGGCACGATGTTGATTATGGTTGTGAATTGGTGAGCTCCGATTCTCGATCGACCCGAGACGGGTGTTTGGTTTCGGTATAAAAGCTATGTGTAGTTTCGTTGGTCTTGAACGCTGGAAGGGCGGATTTCTATGGATGGATTAGACTGACGTTGAGGCTGGTCAAAATGGGGAGGTACCTTAGTCGAGGAGGAGGTGGGCAGTGAATGTAAAAATGCGGTCTTGCGGTCCGCATTCTAAGGTAAACGATAATTGTTCTAGTTGAGAAAGACAATGAGGCGGTTTGCGGCGTTGGTAGTCCATTCTTCGTCAAGGCTATTCATCCGACCAGTTCATGTCTGTAGTTACGTCGTTGTGAACGTCTACACGCATGCATAACCTGTTCGCAATATCCAAACCTTTCAGAGTGGCAGCGATGTCCTTCTCTATATCTTTCAAGCTCTACCCAGGTAGCGGGTGATGACGAAAGAATTGTTCAGGGACTCGAATGTCCAACAAAAGACACAGGTCTGGGAAGACTGCTGCAGGTAACATGTCGTAGTAGCACGAGCAGAGTTCGTGGCCCGCCATCGAATGCATGGCTCTGCACGTCCGCATCAGTCAAGCAAGGGGTGCACCGCACGCGAGGACTTCGGCCAGCTTTGGTCTTTGCATGACGCTGCTGCTGTAGATGGAGAAATAATACCAGTACAAGTGTTCTGAGGACGCGTCTTGCATCGGTGCTGCTAGGTGTTGACATATCTCCTGGAGCACTTCTGACGGCAGATCGAGGATCTCGATTTTCGGCATGGCTTTGGTGGTTCGTGGTTCGTGGTTCATGTCGTTGTGTTAGAAAGGAAATCAGCAAGAGCTTGATGCATGTTAGTATGGAGTGAAGTGAAGTGTTCAATTTTTGAGCAAGGAGTTTAGGTACCATCCCGATGGACTCTCTTCTATATCTCTCGACGAAATAGGAAGCCTTGAGCTTTCATGTCTACCCATCTTCGTCCATGTTGAAGGCAGAGAGATGCCTGGGCTTCTTTAACCCACTAGCCATCGCTCTGGACGACCATGGCGGAGAAAGTGAAAGACGAAAGATTGCGAGCCCCTTACTGCCAATGTGACGCGGGGAGGAGAATGTGTCGCTGAAAGAGATGAGTCTAGACACGTTGAAGAAAACACTGTTTTAATGAGACACTTCTTTCGCAGACCATGGAGAGAAGTTTCCAGCGAGCGCTTTGACTACATTATTCTTGCAGGCCTCGACTTGGCCATTCCACAGCAAGCTTCTAAATCTCCTGGTCTGTCAGCCGTTTTCGGGCTATCTAGATGAGATGGATGAGCATCGTGCAAAGACCAATCATTGCATCGATAGTTCGATACCCGTTTGGTTCTAAGTTCAAGGCCAACTTAGAGTTTCTCCAACTTTAGTTCAGACGAGTGGCGTGTGCATAAGTCAAAAGCCGTCAACGCAGAAGAGCCAAAAGCGTAAGGTCAAAAAGTCAAACAAAAGTGCCCGAAGCTCTGTCAATTTCGATAAAAATGATCAGAACCACCAAAAGAGATGCCCGAAGAATGACTTGGTCAATCGCGGTGAGGATTTGAGCCTCACGCGGGGGTCGAACCCGCAACCTTGAGATTAAGAGTCTCACGCTCTACCGATTGAGCTAGCAAGGCGGGTCTTGGATTTTTGATTGTTGAAGACCGTCTCGAAATTGTGGGCTATGTTTGAAAAGGCTGTAGAGGGTAGTGGGCAGCGAATATCGCGGTTACGACTCGCGACGTCTAGGCTCCAACGTCTGGTGACAAAAGTCGAGATATCCCGCCGGCTATCCAGAGACAGCAAGGGGCTTGTTTCTATATGTACTTTTGGGTTTTCCCAATACCCATGCCAAGCCATTTTTGGCGTTAGACCGGTCGGTAAATGATATCTGGAATTGTCTCAAACATAGTGACGCTTGTGGCTTCGGCATGTTGACAAATTGCATTCCTTCCAACTCCCTCTTTGATGACTTGTACACTTGCAGCACAATCCATCAGTGTGCTTACGCAGTTACGAGCTGACGGATTCTTGCGAAAGGAATCAGGATTCGACCGTGGGAAATGGTTTCTCCTTTGTTTTGATTCTTTGGAAATTAATCGGGATGCAAAGGTGGCCTTTGCTCGAGTTTCTCTCTCACGTAATTCGCCTGCCTGGGCAGACTAAACCGGCTGCTGGGATCTTATTCATCAAAGTGCGAAGTTGCCTCGGCTCACCAGCCATTTCATTTACCAATTTCCGACACCGACACCACTCGGGTCAACCGAGAAACACAGACCAATGGTCCCCGGTGTGTCAAGTATTTTGAGAAGATGGGATTCGCGAGGATTGGACTATTTTGGGGGGTGTGTGAGTCGGCGATTGAAGCTCAGATCGGCGGATTTAGCTTAGGTCTTTTTTCATGTGGTTTCTTACCGAGCACTCCTATTTTGGAGGGGAGAAGCGCGCAGCTTGCGAGATACGCTATATCTATGGGCTACAGGCACAAAAACCGACCCTTGTCTGTTGTTTTCACAGCTGGTGCGAATGTCTATGGTTGAGCTTATTGGGTCAATTCTTTTGATTGGAGTGAAACATTCCCCAATGCTGATCCCATTCTATCAAGTTCCAAAGGCCGTTTTTTTCCTACTGTGTACCGAGTATGGCGGATCATCTGTAACTAGTCACGGTGTCACCCGAGACTAGACAAGACATGCCAGGTTTACGGCAGTTTCTCTGTCAGAGAAGAAACGATATTTCGACAAATGTTTCAAAAGGGAGGCGCTTGGGAAGTCATCTGCCGATGATCCGTCGCATTTGACGGCCCCTCCTACCTAGTCTCCCCTCTTCCCTGACAAGCCTGAAGCCCCCTCCCATCATCCATGAGTTTAGGCATGTTTGGTGTTCGGAAACGTGGTGTCTTCGCGAAATAGCTCGCCGGCACAGGCAACGCCGCCCAACGCCGCAACGCACCGGTGGACGGGTGGACGGGGGGCCAGGGTTGGTTGCGCAGAATGCGAGCATTGTTTCTGCATTCATCTCCTTTTTCCATTGTCTCGGTTTAGAAACGTCTCATTGGTCAGCTGTCAGACGTAGCTGAAGCCCGACACCATGAAGCATGAGCCATTGACAGGGCCTAGAATCCAGACGAATCCAGAGACGCTAGTTGCTCATGTCATTATCCGAGCCCTAACAATTTAGCTCGTGACAATCAAATCGTCTGATTTGTTAGGCGGACGGCAACGGGCGGAGGTATTCGGTTCCCCCCAAAGTATCGATGTCAAGATTCGAGTGTCTGTACTTGACTCTCTCTATAACTCAGATGAGCAGAAAGAGTGAGACGATGGTGAAGAAGAAGAGTTATCCGTAGAAATACGGCACAGTAAGAGGCACAAGAGATAATTATGAACCAAAGTCCTTTTTGCATAATCGTCATCGTCCCACCCCCGTCCAACAGACACAACTTGAACATGGCACAGCCGCGCTCGCATTCCCTTCTTGGGTCATCAATCTCATCAACACCCGACGGTACACTACACGCCCCCCTCCCTCCCCCCGGTCTTCTCGACGCCAAGTCCAAGTGACCAAAAAAATTAGCGCCGTGTTGGATCGGCCATAGGAAGCACAGGCGTACCAGGTCCTCCTCAGGTGACAACTGCAGCTGTGCAGGGGAGGGGAGAAGCCCGAAGAATTCAATTTGGTAAAGAAACGCATCTTGTTGGTGGTGCGGCGGTGGTGGCCGCGGCGGCCCCCAAATTTGCACCCAAATTTGACCCAAATTGAGGACAAGTCACAAGCAGAGAAGAGCCAAAAAGAATACTTTGTAGGTAGTCGACTGGACGCAGGGAGAGACAGGGGAACAAGAGTGACACCGCAACCCGCGCCGCCCACCCACGCCGCGCACTGCGCCTGCGCCTGTGCCTGTGCCTTGCGCGTAGGAAGCAGAACGGTGAAGCAGAAGCAGAACCAGAATTACCTAGGTAGGTAAGAAACCAGACCGTGCCAGACCAGGCAGTGCCGCAGGCAGGAATTTGCTGCTCAGTCACCTTTTAGTCGAGGGGGAGAGGGGCCGGAGGGCGGAGGGGAAGGGGGCGGGCAGACAAAAAGAGAAGAAGAAGAACGAGGAGGAGAACAAGAAAGAGGCAGAGGAGAGGAAAAACTAAGCAAGTAGCCTATAGACAGAGAGAGACAGACAAGACAGACACGAACCAATCTCACCCATCCTTCAGCCTCGGCCAGTTGCGTCCTTGCGACCTGCATCTTGCGTCTAGTCTGCCTGGCCTCATCGGCGCGGCTGATTTTCTGCCCCTCCGAAACTTGAAACGCAACAACTTGCTGCTCTCTTGGTTTTTTTCTCTGTCCCTTATCCCTTTTTCCTTCTAGATCTTCAGAAGAGAGTAGCCTTGCCTCCCGTCACCCTCGTTCTCCTCCTCCTCTTTTTTTCCCGCCAGGCCCCCAGCCGCAGCCGCAGCCTCCGGGTCTTCGGAAACTTCCTGCACCACACGCGCACACACACACACACACCCAAATCCCGCACGCATTTGCCGCGAGCTGTCGAACGTGCTTTGTGCGGGTACTCGGACCTGGGTCCGGGTTTTTTTTTACCTTCTCAACCTTCCCGCCTGTCAGCTGGAGCAAGCACACGCGGGACGGTAGAGTCCAGACCAGAGCAGAGCAAAGCGGAACAGGCATAATGACACGGAAGGGCCAGCCAAAGGTTCGCACAGGCTGTTTAACTTGCAAGTGAGTTTCTTTTCTCGTACTATATTTCCTCTTTTTTCACTTTGACTTTTTCTTTCTTGATCGGCGATCTGGAGGGTGGCTGCTGCGCGGCGCTGCCTTGGCTTCAGCCCGAAATCCCAGCCTCGGGCGGAACGTGTTATATCCCTCAAAAAGTCGGATGACTTCCGGCCGGTCTCCGGATTGTGTCCGGGGCTGGAGTTTTCAACCGGGGCCGGCTGCCGAGACGAGACTGGACGAGCGGCCCCGTCTCCGGCTGCGTATGTACGGTGGTATACATGTATATGGTGTGTGTAAGGTGTGCCGTACCGTGTGCGCGCGTTGTAGAATGTGTTGTATGTGAGAGTGTGTGATGTACGTGTGTGACCAAGCGGCCACCGGGCCTCACCCTCCGTCTCCGTCTCCGTTCCCACATTCACAATCCCGTCCTCAAGAAGAAAAAGGAACATCTCCCTCCCTCCGTCATCGAGTCATTTTCGCCATTCTTACTTCTCTCTCTTCTCCCATTCAAATAGGTCACGCAAGGTAAAGTGCGATGAAGCAAAACCGGCGTGCGCGCGCTGCACCAGCACCGGCCGCAAATGCGAGGGCTACGCCGTCGTCGTCCCCAGCAACCGGGCCATCGCCCGCGCCCGCTCGCGCACCACGAGGCTGAGAGACGCGCTCGCGCAGGCCAGGGCGGGCTGGGAATTCGAATCGGACCAGGCCACCGTGGAGTACTTTGCCCGGGACGTCGCCCCCAACCTGCCGCAGAACTTTGAAAACAAGTTCTGGTCCGACCTCGTGCCGCGCCTGAGTAAGTCGGAGCCCGCCGTGAGGCATGCCATGGCTGCCATTGGCAGTCTTTTCCCGCAGCGAGGACCCCCGAGTAACTCGATCCAAGGAGCGACGATAAAGTCGGCGACGACGGCAGCGGCGACGGCAACGACTGGCGATGGAGGGAGAGGGAATCCGCAGGCCGACGAGCATTATGGCAAGGCGTTGCGGTTGATGGCCAACAAGGTCGCGCCGGAGAGGGGGTTTGAGGATGTCCAGACGACGTTAGGAACAACTACCACCACTAGGACGACTTCGACGACGACGACGATACGAAACGACAGTAGCAGATCCTTCGGATCACCCAGCAACCGTTCATCCCCGAGCCTATCCTCCGCCGGACCGTCATCAGCAATCCAATCCCCGGCAGCTATGACGCCAGGCATCTCGAGCATACCAGAGCTCGTAGAACCAGACCGGCAAGACACCCTCACGCCGACGAACCCCTTCACATCACCCCAAAGCCAAGCCGGCGGCGACGACCCCGACGACGACATGACGCAACCAAACGACGTGGACGTCGTCCTCTCCTGCTGCATCCTCTTCATCGCCACGGAATTCCTCCGCAAGAGCTTCGACGCCGCCATGCAGCACCTCGCCAGCGGCATCAACATCCTCAACAACGTAGACTACGACGAGCTGGAACAAGACACCCTCGACGAAATCGTCCCGAAATTCCACCGCCTCAGCATCATCCAGCTCTGCTACTACGACAAACCGGGCTTCCCCTCACTCAACCTCCAACACGGCGGCGGCACCGGCGGCGGCGGCGTAGGAAGCCTCGGCGGGCTGGGATCCAGGTACAACCTTGGCCCCTTTGACAAGAGCAGTAGCATCTACCTCCCCAAACGCGCCGTCGACCCGATCCTCCTCGACGCCATCCGCTACATCCGCTCCGCCGACCCCGGATCGCAGACCGACTCCCGCCTCGCCTCAAAGGGCCCCGTCATGTCCGAGGAGCAAAAACACATCTGCGTCTCGCTCGACCGCTGGCACGCCGCCTTCCTCGCCTTTGTCGAGAACCCCCGCAAAGACGCCGACGGCGACCGTCCCCTGCCGAAGCATCAGGGTCTCATCTGCGCCGAGACGGAGATGAAGTACCAGGCGGCCAAGATCTGCATCAGCGTCTGCCGGTCCCACGACGAGTCTGTGTACGACTGCTTCAAGGAGAATTTCGCGCGCATCGTCGTGCTCGCGCGGTTGATCCTCGATAGCTGCCCGGACGTGCCACCCGAGACGCCGGACGATTTCCAATTCGATTTTAAACCGAGTTTCCTCTCCCTTGTCGAGTTTGTGATTGTTAAATGCCGCTGGCTCGATATACGGTACCAGGCGTGGCTCATTGCGTGGGAACTCGCCATGGGAAGGCGGGAGCCCGTGACGCTGGGCGAGGGACATGAGCTGCACTACATCGGGAAGCGGATGATTGAGCGGGAACACAACGTCAGCATCGAGGAGGTGACGAGGCAGAACGCCAGCCTGTTTTCGTTGCCGGCCGAGGAGATGCGTGTCAAGGACTACCTTAGCGATGCCCGGTTCGCGGATTTGGTCCAGACGGACGACAAAAAGGATAAATCATCGTCGGCAGCCGCGGTACAGGTCCCGTACACTCAACGTCTGCTGCTGCGCTGCGGCAGCTGTGAATTGGATCAGCTTGCCGGCTGGATGGAGGGCTACGAGTTTTCGGGGAGGGAGCAGTGAAAGAGGGACGAGTCATGGGTTTGAAAAGAGTTCATGTTCGTGTTTCCCGCCGGTCCGAGAGGGCAAAGCGCAATGGCATCCCTCCCTTTCCCACCTTATTCTTCTTCTCTTCTTTTTTGCATATTATTACCATGAGCGTGGATTGCCCTGCTTCGATCATAGCGACGAGGATTAAGATTTTAGAAGACCCTACTTGGCCCAAGACTATGGGCATTTGTATCGTATCTACTCGCTGGCGCGGAAACATGCTCGAGAAAAAACGACCGTTCTGGGTCAAAGTGTTAAATTGGCGCCATCACTGTTGACATCAACAGATATTTACCTTACCTTACTCTACTTTATTCAACAAAATCACACAAGCCACAAACCGTTCATGTTCAAACTCATTATCTCGTAATTCTTTGTTTCCAGCCATGACCAGTTTCTTTTTCAGCGCGCTTCAAGGCCAAAGAGGGCAGAGAACCGATGCGTTTGTTCACGTCAATAAGAACAAATAGCAGTATGTCAATCAACAAGGTTGACGGTACAGGTTCCATGACTCGAGTTGATCTACATTGCCACACTCTATACAATGAGCACATCCACTTCAAAACGAAGATCACTTGCCCGGTGGGGAGAAACAAGTGGAAACAGGGACTTATTGTCGGCCTCGGTCGCGCCTCCGCGACTCGATGCGCTGGAGAGAAGTGTGCTCTGGACTCTCAACCGACAAGTCTATCCTGGGATTCTCTCTCAATAGAAGTCTTGGACCATTACATCTCGTACAGCGTCTGTAAACGCACCATTTGTAATAGACTTCCCAGTCCCGCTCTCCCTCCCGCCTCCCCCCTCGTCTCGAGCGACACCGTAGTATCCTTGCGAAGCATAGCCCATCACTCCAGATCCAGCCGTCCGACTCGACATGATTGGCTCGACCCCGGGTTCTTTACCGCCTGCGCATCGAATCGGGTAATTGATGTAAAGACACAATGACTCGGCGAGTACTTGGAATCCCAGGTAATAGAGGGAGGGGATAAATCCGGGGAGCCGGAGTTGCCACTTCTCCAACTCCGGGGGGCGCGGGAAGCTGTGGGTTCCTGGCCTCTGCTGGCCTGCGGCGTTGCTTGCTTCTCGAACTTTTCCAAAGTCTTGGCATCCCTACGTGACATGACGTTGATGAGATGCTCGTTTACCGTGCAACACTTCAACCTACTTTTGAGGCTTTGCTCGTGAGCAGCAACTGGGAGGCAAGTTGACTAAGAGATACGGCTCCTTGGCGACTCCTAACCCGCGCTCACCCCAGGCTCCTGGCAATTCGGCCGCGATTGCCTAAGACTCTGTATTCGAGATGGCTTTTTTTTTAGCCATGTTGAATCAAGTTCATTTTGACACGGCTGCTTCTCAATTGCTGATTATGACTTCATGGTGTAGATACAAAGAGACTGCTCATCATCAGCCATCACCACCTTGGAACAAAG